CTGAGGTGTTTCTGAGCAGGATTATAAGGTTTGATACGGCTCTCTCATGTTGATATATGGGTATTCAAACATAATTGCCGTTTCGGTAATCGTTTTCACATCTCACTTTCCAGGGTCTACCAGGTGCAGGTGCGAGTTTATAAGGCATAAAGGTTGGTCTAAGTTTGGCACTCTGTTGGCTGATGGGACGTCATAAACGGGGGGTTCCGAAAATAGGGGACCCCAATATAGTACTCTAAATAGTGGGATCCGTGTTATAAGGACCCCAAAACAAGGTAGCCCTGATTTTCGGAAACTCCCAAATGGGAAGTGGCTGGGGAACTTTCTCAGCTTGCCACCAAACCCCGCGCCCTACGAACTGACCGAACGCCCTCAGCGCAAAAGCTCTAAACCCGAAGGCACACATTTTGAACCCCTAAACCCCAAAGCCCTTTTGTCTCAATTCCGTCAATTGCATTCCATACCGTTTTCGCTGGCTGTAGAAGTTCTTAAATGTAAGAGAGAGCCAAATCAAGAGAAAGGAAATCACACATCAGGAACAAGGAATTCAGAATGTAAAGCAGACTCACCAGAAGACAATTTTGTTCGTGAATTTCGTGTTTCCTCCGTATAAAAGATCTAAACTAGAGAAACTAGTGCAGTACCTGGAAGTCAGAACCCGTTTCAATGTATAACCAAGAGACAGTAAAGTTTGTACAGGTAAAGGAACAAGTCAGAAGAAATGATCCTTGTGGTTCATTCAATGTACGTCCTAAATGCAAATGAGAGAAACGAATAAAACCAGGAAGAGATAGCACAACAGAAACAAACCACTACCACAACCGTCCGCCACCGGAATTCGTTCCCCTGACTCGTAACAAGACTCCTGGCAAACCTGAACCTTAAAACCCTCAACCCTAGACCCTAAACCCCAAAGCCCTACTCCGTAAGCACCTCAACCCTGCACTGCCTTTTCCAAAGCCTCCGCTTGCCGAGGTCGCCCAAGCCTACAATGGCAGCCAAGGGGAAACAGGCTGGAGAGTATATGGCATATGGGCAGTTCTCTAAATTCGGGTCCCTAATAGGGTCCTTTCTAGTCAAAGGGGACCATAATTTAGAGAAGTATGCGCATACCCCAAATAGTATTGGCAAGTATTTAGGCGCCCATATTATCTCCTTTTTGAGTCCCCAAAAAACACAAAGTAAACAGCCCCTAGCTGGGGCTTAGGGCCCTAAACCCTTAAGCGTTTGGGTGGGTTGGAGGTTTCGGTCTAGGACATTTTCTGGTGGATAGTTACCGTTATAGGAGCCTTATAGAAGGTCTATATGCCTTATAGAAGCCTTATAGAATATAGAAGCCCTATATACCCTAAACTCCACACCTGTAGTTTCCTTTAATTCGGCCCCCGCAGCAGCAAAGAGACCTAGAAACCCGAGACCCTCCAAAAGAGCCAGAAAGTTTCATGCCCAAGCCTTATAAGAACCCCAAGATGCACCTTGAACCTTTCACCCTTAAGCCCATAAACTTTCTGCGCCCTTGAAACTGTAAGGCAATTGAGCCCTTGCAGCTCGTAATATAGGGGCCTTAATAGTTAGAATAGGGTTTTGGGGCCACTCGTAATATAAAGATAATAATAAGGAGCCCCCAAAATAGTATAGGTAATTATCTAGGCCCCTACATTAGTGCAAGTTGTGACTGCCAGAGGCTTTCGAGGAAGAGCAGACGTCTTCACCGAGGCGAGGACCGGGTCCCTGCTAGTAAGCACTAAAAACCATGCCATGCGTGTAGTTCTCCAAAAATTTGGGTTCCTGTTAAAGGCTCCTTAAAGGGATCTATAAGGGTTTCTGCAGGGTTTCAAGAAAGCGTACTATAATCGTTCCATGTGGGTAGTTCTCCAAGCCAGGGTCCGTTTGAGGGTCCGTTCAAACTGATCCGGATTTAGAGAGCTACCCATAAGCAACACTAGCAAAAATAATGGCAGACGAGGCAGCCTAAGTTGAAGATGGAACTATCTCTTCTCCGTAGATGAAGTTGGTCCATGGAATCATGAACCGTGCTTTCTTTTATTTTCGGGCCCACGTTTAAACCCCAAACCCTAAACCCTACCCTTTGAAAAGAGGAAGATGCCAGCTGTGGGGACTTCTTTACCGGGCTCGCGGTCCCAAGACGTGAAGCAGGTAGCGTCCGATGAGGTTGCTCAGATCCCAGACATAGATATGTGTGTATATATATATATATTATGCATATACATATATTATTATATATGTTGGACATATATATATATATACACACACACATACGAAATTCGAAAAACTGTATGTACGACTTCTTCATACATCCCACGGTCATCCCCCGCGCAGGTGCAACGATGTCCAAGCCTGCTTGGACCAGTGCTTGATCCGGCATATCAGGCAACCTGAAAGCTTTGGTGCGGGAATTTCCCTAAACCCAAAAACTTAAAACCCTGAACCCTTTCCATGGTTTTCTTGCATCCGAAACCTGAGACGTGAGGTTTGGAGTTTGGGGGTTCTCCCTGGGAGAATTGTGGTTCCGAGTCGATGCGGGTTGTGGTCTATCGAGCGAGAACTAGAACATACTATACAGCTACTACAACCTACTACACTGTTACTATAACCTACATGCGGGCTCGTGCATTCCCTTGTCCTGTTGAACATCCATGAGCCCTGAGGCGGAACAGCTCTAACATTTCAGGTTTTCCGTCCAAGCACATGACTAGTTAGGGCAACAACTACTTGCCTTGCAGCTAACTGCAAGAGACTCTAGATTCCGCAATATCGTCCCGAGATTTCCGGAGAACATGCTCCCAGCACCTTGAAGAGATCATTTAGAGCCCAGTGCAAGCCGTGCCACCTCATCGATCACAAGCCTTAGGGTTTAGGGTTTCGGCCAGGTCCAGGGCCCTCTACGAACAGCTCTACCTAAACAGTAGGACAGGTAGGCTTTACCCGTTTTGCTGGGGGTACGATGGTCCCTATGTACTCCCAAAGGCGAATATGGAAGCCTAAATAACTTACCAATATTATTCTTAGGGCTCCTTATTATGGCTTCAATCTAATACCTCCCAAAAAGCCCTACTCTAGTTTTTTCAAGGCCCTTGCACTACGGTGACCGCAGCCTTGAGCTCCCAGCATACGGGGCAGGTACTTAAAGGATCATGAGACTTAGTAAGTAGGGTTATAATTAGGGTGGCTATACGTATAACTCCAATTAAGGCACTTATAACCTTACCAAGTCCCATGATCCTCCAAGTAAGCTCTAAAGCATTTTATCCGCTAACTCGGCGTCCCTGAGAGGGTTGGTTGAAAGATGGGATCCTTCTTATAGCGAGATATGTGAGTTTTTCCGGAAACTAAGGGGTACCTTATTTTGGGAGCCCCCCATATTGGGGTTCTCGGGGATTGCCCGCCAAGAAATCCCAAGCCCTCAAATTGTCAAACCCCCAAACCGTACACCCGAGAACGCTGAACTTTTCAACCAGGAGCACTGCCAACCTTCCATCGCAAATCCTCAGCAATTCGCCCCTAAACCCTAAAACCCTAAAACCCTGAACCCTGAAACCCTAAAGCCCTAAACCCTAAACCCTAAACCCCTAAAGCCCCAGAGCCCTTTTCTTCAGCTTTGAAGAGAAGGCCTAGACCCCAAACCCTAAACCCTAAACCCTAAACCCTAAACCCTAAACCCTAACCCCCTCGAGGCAACTCGAGAAGAGAGCCTCTCAGGCCGGCCCTTTGCATTCTGTCGTTTCATGTGGGTGGTTCTCCAAAATTCGGGTCCCTTTTTTAAAGGGCTCCATAAAGGGCTCTACAAGGGCTTCTAGAGGGTTTCTATAAGGGGGGCTATAAGGGTTCTATGTGGGTGGTTCTCCAAATTAGGGTCCCTTTCAGGGACAATTTCATCAGGCTCAACGTGACTCCAAGTTAGAGATCTGCCATGTAGCCGTTTAGTTGTAAGGATTGGGACTTCTCCATCTCTCTCTCTCTTTTTTTTTTTGGGGGGGGGGTCGGTGTTGCCAGGGTGTCGAGTCCAGGAGTTTTGGGATTCAGCGGTTTAGGGTCTGGGCTGGGGCCTTCCTTGGGAAGGCCCCAGACCCTTTCATTCAAGGCCCCCGGGTATTTAGGGTATAGGGTTTAGGG